TTAAATTTGATACATAGAAATATTTAAATTTGACACAAAGAAATATTTTTCAACGAAACTCCGTTTCGAACAATGATTTTAGGTTTTAGTACTAAGTATAGTACTAACAATTTGTTGGTACAAATTTGAAGTCGGTTAAAAAAGAGAGGAGGAAGAGGTGACAGAGGGTGGTATTTAACGTAGTTCATTAAATAATTATTTGGGTAACTACTAGATGATTTTTATAAAATCATATTTATTTTTTGTAGGAGTATGTATCGGGCACAAGCACTGTCTTTTCAACAGACCACCAGCTCTACAAGTGCCCCCAACAATGGGCTGGTTGTGGAATGCTCCAGACGTCCCAGGCATGAAGGTACTCCATGTTTGTTATTTACTTCATGCTCTCACAGTTACGCTTTTCATTTCGCGAAGTAGTACACGGGGTATATATTTAATAATACACCTATGTTTCGCCAGTTGTGTAATGAATGCTAATAAACTCTACTCTTCCACACTAAGGGCTCGTATACAAAACTGCGATGTGACGTCGTATCTCCTAAGCAATAACAGAAGTATACACTTTATTTTACGATCCATGTCACGACCTAGTTTTCAATTTAAAATAAGTTTAGTACGGTTGACGGTCGTCGAAGTAATGGTCACCCTGGGAGACGCCTTGTCACACGAAATCGCATTGCAGCAATTAGCATCGAATTTTTTGCGTTGCGAATTCGCATCGCATCGCAGTTTTGTGTACGAGCCCTAACACCAGCAATATAGTTTATACTATCGCAGGGGCTAGATAAAACTATAACAAGAATGTAGTAAGTAGTGATTTGTTTTAGGTTAACTAATATTTGTTACTGGTGCACCTAATGTGTGCCTCTGTTAGTGTTCATGTTCAAAACCATTAAAGTTTATTCTACTATATGTATTAATTTAGGCTTCTACTAGCGTTACTTATTATAGTCATTTTTTTTAACCTGTTTAGTCCGTTCGCCGCGGTTGGTCACCAGGCGTCATTGGAAAGAGTGTGGCAAAAACTATGACGTTTAAATTTGCACGCGGCGGTCCCGAAAAAGACAAAAATAAAAAGAAAAAAAAGAAAGGGAACAGGCCAGGAGGTACTGATGTCGGTGGCGGAGACTCCGAACCTGAAGAGGCTTTGGAGCCTAAACCCACACTCAAGGTCCAAAGGAAAGGCGATGTATTTACTATCCAGGTAATGGTATTTTTTCTACTTAGAATGCCACTGATATTACTGAACACAAATAATACAAAATTATAATGGATAGAATCTGGTAAGGTTGAAAACTATCACATAAGTTTATAATTTTCCTTTTTCTTTATTTTCAGGTGTCTCCATTAAAAGACTTGACTGATATTTTGCCCAATGAAGATCCGTACGTAGACTGTGATCCAATGGTCTTCAAAATTATAAAGAAGAGAAGTCCAGAAGAACAAGCGAAAGTCGAAGCTAGGAAAATGGTAAAATTAAAAAAACAGCGAGATGCAGAAATTCGGAAGGCTTTAGCAGAGGCCGTGGAGGATATATGCAAGTGTGCCTACATGGATGTGTACTGTAACGATTTGTCCGCAATAGATCGGGTAATTGACAGCTGTCCAGCTTTTAAAGAGCCTGAGTGTATTTGTAAAGAAGAGTCATTGAGTTCTTTATCAAGTAACGCGACCTGGGACATAGAGTACACGCCTCCGTTTGGGTGTTTCGACTTGGCGCCTAGAAAACGGAAAACCTACATTCACGTGGAGACACAATACATACCGGCAGACGCTGGGATAGTGGAACCGCCACCACCGAAACCAAAGTGCAAGAGATCATGCGCTTCCATCCGACCAAGAAGGAGAATCTCTAAGAAGACTTGCTGTGGTCCTTGTGCATGCTGATTCCGGTTTTGTTTGTCTTGGTGTAGATGAAGTAATACGCCTTCATACATCTCACTACGTTTTTAATATGAATGCCATACAGTCCTTAAATCGATCAGTGGCTGATAGATATTATTAAGTGGAGTCTTTCTTTAAATTATCTTTAAAAATGTTCTACCGTTAAATAATATACCAAGTAAAAATATATTTGAGAGCACCAATCTTGGTCAATGTTTTTATTAAATGTCAATTTTTATTTATTTTGTTTTGTTGACTAGCGCCATAAGTAGGAGTTATATTTTACTTACTTCTTCCATATCGTTCGTTGGTTTCATGAGCGTAATACTTGAGGATGAATGGTACTGCAATACTGGTTCCTAATACGACTGCACCGCCCAGAGCTAAGGACGCTGGGTTGATGTTTATAGTTGGAAAGTCCTGGCAAACACACAAGTTATTTCAGACTACAGATAAGATACACATTGTCTATAACTACCTGTTTAAAATCAGGGAATAGTTGTCTAAAGCACACACACATTGTCTAAACACTAGTACCTAAATTAATAAAATTTAACCGCAAAATAAATATGCTAATTTACATAAACATAACATTACGCCTCTTATCCCCGAAGGGGTAGGCAGAAGTGCACATTACGGCACTTAATGCCACCGTACAATGTAACACCCACTTCTGTGAGTGAGCCTATTGCCATATACCTACCGGGCACATTTCTAGACTCCGTGCTACCAGTTACTACTGAGATTTTTAAATCCAGTACCTAATACTTTGCCCGGCCCGGGAATCGAGCCCTAGACCTCTTGCCCGACAGTCGCACTTGCAACCACTCGGCCAATAAGGCAGTAGTATGCTAATTTAACTAGACACAATTAGCAAAAAAGTAGTCAAATTTTGTAGCTGTATCTATTTTATATACCTTCTAGCTACGTCCGCGCGGTTTCATCCACTCTGCTCGGCGCCTATTCATCTAAATATTTTATAGCCTACAGTTTTCCTGAATAAATGGACTATCCAACACAAAACGAATTCTTCAAATTGGACCAGCAGTACCTGAGATTAGCACGTTCAAACAAACAAACAAACAAACTCTAACTTTATACATATAATAGTAGATAGAATGTCGTGATGGCCCGGCGATTTAAAACGCCCCCTTCTCATGCGGGTTGGGTACGGATTCGAAACCTACCTTACCTAACCTATGTGACTTTTCCCAATTTATAAGTACTTTCTAAGATTATCTAGACACCACTGACAGACAGTGAAGGAAAACATCGTCAGGAAACATGGGCTTATAATTTCTAATTATAGGATTGATATCGCCAACCCGCATTGAGCAAGCGGGCTGATTAATACTCAAACCTTCTCCGTATGAGAAAAGGCTTTGCTCAGCAGTGGTCCCCTTACAGGCTGTTGATGATGATGATGATATCTATACATATAATAAAATCGAAGAAAAGTCAAAACTGTACATTGAATTTTTTTTTAAAAGAATACTTCGGGCGTTGTCAATTATTTTTAATTTTTTTTTTCTGTTTGTCTGCATATACTTATGTCCTGAATGATCTCAAAAAGTTCTGCATGAATTTACTTAAAATTTTGTATGATTATTACTAACAGGTCGGGTCAACATATAGGCTACATATTATCACACTATTACCTACGGGGTAAGCGCAGTATATCACTATTCCACGCAAACGAAGTCGCGGGCACAGCTAATAAGATATAAGACAAGATTATATAGAAAATATCATTTTACTCACTAATTAGAAACCCTTATTTTTAAGCGAGAAGTTTAAGACCTATGAGGTATACTGACAAGGAGCAGATTAGTAATCGCAAAAAGTGATACTATGTGAAACCCACGCCCCATAATGAACTTTAACATTTAAAAACAACATACCAAGAGTCCAAACGCCGAGTTCACAGTTTTCTTCACAGGTATGCTTAGGAATGGGACGGTAAAGTCTAGATCTATCTGAAATTAGTAATGAAAATTAGTTTCTATAAGTACATGTCTAATCCAAAATTGGAGCTAATTACTAAAAAGTCTTTGTAAAGCATGTTAGGGAGCAATTTTTCAAATACACATTCACAAAACATAAGATTTTTTCAATGTATTGCTGCAGGGCCTGCGAGACTAACGCTCTGGTGTAAATTGATCGGTAGGGCAACCTTAGTTGTTAACACATAGATTCCATTTTAAAATGATGATTTTTTCACCTTGTTCCTATTTGTCTTTATAATAACTATTGTGAGACTAAATTTAGTATAATTATTTATTAGAGAATTTAGTATAAATTAACTAAAAATCGCGGGTTACTCTTTATATCCTAAATCACTAGGTACTTCACTTAGCGAGTACGCTAAATTTTTTTCTCTCTTTCATTTCTTTTTTAGCCATTTTCTAGAGTTCACTTATTACTTTTAGATACTTTATTCACGGATCACCTGATGGTAAGCGATCAGCGCCGCCCATGAACATCAGAGGAGTCACAGGTGTGTTGCCGGCCATTGTATGATATTTTTATTATTTCGGAAATACTAAATTACCTTTATATCCTCGTTTAGGGTGTTAAAAGTGAACAACTTGTGTCTTCCTTCTCTTCTTTTGCGCACATCCTCACTTCTCACCGTTAACATCAAAATACATAAAACAACGCACACTTTCGACATTTTGAATATTTCGAATCACATTTTTAATTGAGCCAATAAACTGTGATGCTCGCACCAAACCTTAAGACTGTTTGTCACAATTTTTATGTTGTTTTCATTTAAAATGGTGAAAGAACTTAATGAGCGTGACAACGAACAAGTTTCCGTGTATTGTTTGACAAAATAACATGTCGCTTCACAAGTTATATGCTTGTGTGAAATTATTGTGACGGTGTTAGAATGTATAGAGAAGGCAACACCAAAATATTAGGAAGTTGAGTTTTGTAATCGTTACAGTCTCCATAATTATTGACCACTTCGTAGGTGGAGTGTTCGCCATGCAAAGTTCGGTTGCCGGGTTGAAAATTTGTCAGTGATAACATAGAGTGTATGGCCTATTCCCATGTTCAGGGACTAGGGACAGGGGAATCTTAACATAATCGGTTAAAAGTATCTTAGATATAACATTGTTTCACCATAGGTATGTCTCTAATTACCCTTTTGGATATTAAAAGAGTAATTAGAGACATGTTGGTACAAACTATTTTTATGGAAACAATGAAGTCATACGTACGCTACTGTTCTATCTAAGCGTTGTTAAGTCTATATTTCAGGCAATTTGTACTATTTTCACGGTTGTGATGAACATAATGTCTTTTCTTAGATTAGCGAGTACTCTGACATTAAATATGTTTTATTTCTTTAATATAAACATAGTTATTAGACAAACACTTTCACAGATTTCACATTATAATAAATAAATTATAGCGTAATCAGTAGACATCAATCTTTACAATGTAACACCCACTTTTCACTATTTATGTTATGAGTCCCATGTAATAGGGAGTGAGCCTATTGCCATAAACCAGGCACAATTCCAGACTCCGTGCTACTACTGAGAATTTGTCACTGTCAAAAACCCAGTAATACTTTGCCAGACCCGGGAATCGAACCCTACACCTCTTGTCCGGTAGTCGCACTTGCGACCACTCGGCCAACGAGGCAGTCATATAATTACTACTAAGTATTAAAGTACCCCTAAACCACGAGCATGTATGAAAAGACTGATGACTGTTGACTATGGGAGACAGGCGTGAAGTTATGTACATACAATGTACTACTAAGTACTATGTCCTGTGGGTTTTATAATTCTCAATACTATCTATAAATTGAAATCGAATATTAATTGACTCGAAAACCAATTCCATACGACCTAATTAATCATTTGCTTTCCTAGCAACCACTTTTGATGCCTCTGCTCTGGTACAGCGGGTTTCCATGGGTGGCGGAGAACCTAACGGGTAACCGGGGCTCCGGCTCGACGTGCAGGAGAAGGAACGGGGTGGTTTTTAGTCAGTAAGAGTCTAACACTCCCTCCTGCCTCACTCAGGTGGGAGCAGTCATTCGATGATTTTCCCCCTTAAAAAATGGGTGGCATTGATCACTTACTATCGGGTGATCCGTCTGCTCGTTTGCCCCCAATATATATAAAAAAACGAAACAGTGGCATTAAGTGCCGTGCGTGCACCTCTGTCTACCCCTTGATGTTATGTTATTTTATGTTATGTTATGGTTTAAAAAAACTAAAGAACGATGAGATAGCGATTATCTTACTTAATTGCAGTGCATGTAAGCAAAGTATTGTCCTCAAAATATATTACGATATTATTTTGCAATGAAACAAGAATGCTAAACCGGTAGCAAGCATTTGTTCTTGGAGTCAAACAATGTCTTCACGCTCTGAATGGAATAACAACACGATGATTTCTTCAGATACGGTAGATGTAGAACCCTACACCAATTTGTCAAATTTCAATACATTTTCGACATTGTTACAATAGTATAACGTTGAAAATTTAATAAAAAAGATTGAACTTTGCAGTTGGTTGACCTGCTGGTTAAATGTTAAGTTTAATTAACATAATAATATCTAAATTAAATGTCGATTTGTGATAGCTGTTTCAGCCGAGTCGTTGGTAATGTGGCTGCCTTAATTGATATTTTCGATTCCAAACTACAATCCGTTTATGTTAACGTTTGTTATTACTTTATGATGTTTGTCTTTTACAGAAGTGTTAAATAGGCAAATGGAAAACAAATATAATATTCATGTCTCTACCTTCACTTTTAAGGAAAAACTGGCGCGACGTCATTAGCCACCCCTCTGTAACTTTAAAACTTAAAAGTACCTATTTATAGATATATGATCTGTTTTTTTGGGAAAATTCGTTGTGTTTGAGGATAAGACCTGGAACAGATGACCTGCTTCTATCAGATTCTCGCTAGCACGTCTTTCGCTAACGTGTACAATTAATATTCGTAGAGAGACTTTATAGCAGGTGTTTCTTAATTTTACCCACTGTCTTCACACCTATTATAATACCAAACATTGGACACAATTGCAAACTCTATTAATTTTCATTTACCATCCCAATACTATTTACCAGGTACTTGTTGGAACAAGGAAACGTATAGAGAGGTGCACAATGTAAGTCAGTGGGGAATTAGCTAATTAGCTTCCTGCTTTTTGTCTGAGACTATCGGACAGTTTCGGACCAGAACCGTAACGTGTTGTCGTAAAGTATTATGCAATGTAGACCACATGTGACAATGGTGTTTCCCCATGTCATTGTGTCGGGGCACGCGACGGAACGCCCTGTATATAGATGTATGCGGAATTGGAAGACGTCAGTTAAACCCAAGAGCCTGGTAAGATGGGTCCTAAGGTGTCTTGTGTGGTACTTGCAGCGTGTCTGGTGCTGGCAGGAGCGGAGTACAGAAACGATGGGTAAGATGCATTTTTCGCTTAAGATCATCAGATTAGATTCAAATTTGTAACTAGTGGGTACTTCCTTAACAGGACTCCCAAACTCTTGTAGGTTTTTCAAGTACCTACCTATGTTTTTTTTTATCCTAATCTGTCCTAGTTTTGATTTCAGAGGCTTCGTGCCGAGTTTCCAGAGGACTGAGGACCAGCTTGCAGAACCTTCAGCCAGGATCGAGAAAAACCGAGATGAGAGAGACAATCAGGCTGACAGAACGCAGAGATTTGGCATATCCTCGTATGGCAGCACTGGGGTGAATATCCTCTTTTTATTTTTTTAAGTCAGCCTATTTGACGAAATTGACGATATCAACATTAAACTTTTATCGGAGCCGCAGGTCTTGCAATAGGAAAGATTTCGGAGTTTGGCTTGTAGGATCACGAGATATCTAGGATTTAATTACTAGGGAATGCCAATTGTATCGTTAGTGTAGTGTGAGATCCACCATAAATAAGTTTTTTGCATCCAATTTTGCAACTATGATTGTCTGTATCTAACAGACAATCATAGTTGTGATTTTTTGCCTTTTCTTGAAGAATTGTTATTTGTCAGTGCGCACACATGAGGTGCAGATGACGGAAAAATGATATAGTTTACTTGAGTAACCAAGCGGTAAGAGAATCGAAACATTTAGGAGACAAACAGTATTGTTAGGTACCAATTGTTACTCTAACTGTAGTTTAATGATCTTTGAAGAGCGGCAAATCAGCACAATATTAAGAAAGACAATCACTTGGTCATTCTGCTGAGAATTACCTAAAGGAATATCGAAAAACTAAATAATCATTAACCCGATCCGGAACCGACTCCGAAAGTCCTTTATTGGAAGTCACGCTCCACCAATAAAGTCGTTTCATATTTAGGTACCTATAGGTATTATTTAAATACATTATAGTTATATCACCAGTATTATCGTGGCTCGTGTTTTGTGTTTCAGAGTGGTAGCTACGGCAGCACTGCTCCGGGACTGTACGGACCAGTGAAGATAGATCTTGGCGGAGTGCTCATAGGATCTATACTGGGCTTTGGAGCTGTCATCATCCTACCTAAGATCATCCACGCCTTGTCTTACAGCTACGGCGGAGGATATGGGCGCAGTAATTTTTTGAAATTATTAATTTTACTACAGTGTTATAGATAAAGAAAAAAAAATGCGCACAGCGAGGTATGCTTAGGTTGAAAACAAAAACAACAATGTTCCTGACGGATTTTCTCCTGTATCATAACATGAGTGCAGTTACATAAGTACATACAATTTCACATATACGTCACACTCGCACCCGGAACAAGAATGTGTGGATCACACGAGGATTTTTCCGAATGGGAATCCAACCCGCGACACGTTGCCTAGCGACCCGTCGCCCAGTCGCCCAGTCAAATATTAATACCTGAGTTCACTGCATTATTTCTATACGAACAAAAATCTCTCTTCAGGTCTGGACACCGACTTTGGACAAGTATCAGAAGTGTTTGGTAAAATCGATGAGATGTTGAGCAGATACAACGTGGACTCGACGGCTTGTATGCAGCGGCTGGCATGTTCCTACGTGCAGTTGGCTAACGAAAACATGATCAGCGGTAACGCTACGGACTTCGATGTTTTATTATCTTCGTTGTCCAAGTGAGTACTTTTGAAAAGACTTAGCACTTCTATTAAGTTTGCATGAAAAGATTGATAAATGTCGAAATAGTAAAAGAGTGGCAGTCGACCCACATTTTTAGGATTTACAGCGTGCTTAAAAACAATTAATTTGAAGTGCCTACATTCAAACATTTAAATATGTAATAGGTATCTTACTACTGTATCTCTTTTTTCCTCAGTAACACTTTAGTCCGTCGTATGCTGGACGGCACGGCAGTGTTCGACGCGGTGTCAGCAGGACGGTCGCCAGACTCGGACTGCCACGAACTCTACCACAAATGCAAACTAGACAAGAAGACAGTCGTCAAAATGCTCACTCAACTCGTGCCCTCATAGAATTTATAACAATGTTACCTCAATCTAGAATACATTTTTAATAAACAGTTTGAATATAAATACTTGTCTTACAATTATTTATTTAATACAACATTCCATTTGGACTTCGATACGAGACAATGTTTAACATTAAAAGAACATCTTTTACAGATCAATTAGGATGGGATTTACAAGTAAAATAAAAACGCCAAGATACAAATTTAACAATTTTATTAAAGTCAACACCAAAACCTATCTACATCATCTGATATGCTGGGCAATGCAATCCTTGAACTATCTTTACCGCACCATTGACATAAATATTGTATTCCCTGACATTGTGTACTTCTAATTATACTAACATAATTCATATTATCTAAGAGTTTCCGCTTTATATAAAAACCTTATGCTTTTTGAGCATTCTTTATTTACCTTGATTGTTGTTTTGATGATCGCCGACTTCAGTGCTTATTCTATCGATATATCCATTGTTGAACTTATTATCTCGTTACACCCGTTAGAATCTGTTTGTTTGATCGACATTTACCAATTTACACGGTAACATGTACTGTATACCATATTTGGGTGAACACATAAAAGAGATAGGAGATAGAACTGTTGTGCTGTTGTTATCGATTTAACAATAACTCGAGCCCAACATAGTAGGTAACCTTTCATAAGATTGCTAAACTTCTAAGAAATTAGAATGTAGCAGACCACCAAAACAAAATTTAAGTCAAGTGCACACAGGAGTATTCAATACACATTGCGTGAAGCCACAAGGCTGTGCATCCACAAGCTTCCCCCTTACGTAGGTATTATACTAAACCAATCATTGAACAACTTCTAGTGCACATTAAATCCTTAAACTGAATCAACTTCATTCGTTCTTTAAATCATGAAAACCGTTTGCTAAGATTCCCACGTTTCGCTAGCACCTTCATTATTATTTAATTCAGTTATAAAACTATGCACTACAAGTTGTTCAAATTACTATTCATCTATTGTGTACATACTCTTATAATAAAGCTAGTTTACACCAACGTTGGTCATTATAATTCGTAAAAAGTAATTTTATTGCGTAATAACATTATGCTATTTACTTTCTTTAAAAAAAAAATGGAGCAACTCTTGCTTATATAATAACGCGTCTATCAATCATTTTCCGAGCACTGCCGTGTTCCATTCCGTATTTTCAAAAATAATCGTTTATTAAGCGAGTGTACAATGTTTAATAAACTACGTGTAGACACGTTAGAGTTTAAATATTTCGTCTTTTTTAAATGCAATCATCATTTTTGGATCTTATAGTAACATTTTAGTATAATTGGAATAATAAAAATAAAATGCACGATTGAGTTAGACAGGTAATAAGTGGTAACTAATTGTAGATGTCGAGACATTAATAGACTGTAGCAAATAGCACAGATATTAGCAATCTATGCTTCAAGAAAAGTTGTTTAACTTTTTAAGGCATTTATTAACCTGTATCCAGATTTTATTCTCTAGCCCAAGAATGTCCGTATTCAATGTTAGAACGTTATATATTTTTAACTAAATGCAAAGCTTGTACGTCGGTACGTTGTTCGGCTAAAGTCTATAGTTAAAAGTATCAAATATATACATTTTTCATTATTAAATATTAAATCTTTGACATCATTCAGTGATGTGTGAATGGCTGGGTAAATATAAATTTCCATTTTTCAGAAAATAATATTAAAAAATAAAAACAAAATTCATTGGCGCTGTTGTAATATAAGATTAACATTCTTGAGATTAAATATAATTAAAGTAAGTTTAAAATAATAACAACACAAAATCTAGGTTTCCACATAATTCTTTTGGGATTATTGTGACCTAAACTTTACCTAGTATACACGTATTTCGATGAAAAGAGACTTAGATCAGTAATTAGTTGAATATTGCCACTATGGTACTAGGTGATAGCGAAAAGGCCCCTAAACACGAATATTTAACGGTGCAATGCACTAAATTTCTTTATTTTCTTGGGATTGTACGTTTTCGAGCCATTACAATAATGACCTCAACAAGTCGCAAGTCTCAAGATAGCTTTTGCGAGGCAAGTTTCATGTGTAATGAAAATATCAATAAATACCACATGGTAATTTACCGTTAAATATTCGCATGCACTTACGATGAAATAGTCACAACAGCGCGTGAAAATAAAGTTTACAACTAAGACTTATGAGTATAATGTACAAGTAGTTGGCAACACTCGTAAGATATTGCATTGCTATGCTACACGTACGATCGAGGAAACAAGTTTACGCAACAAAAACTATGTAGAAACAATTATAAATCCTTCAGGCATATTCTTATTTCCTCAAAAATACATATTTATAGTATTGTCTTGAAGAATACCTATGTGATATTTTACCCAACGCTCCTCCATTTTAAAGCCTTACAGTTCTGCAAGTTCTATTTCTAGGTTGCACTTTCTACGTGTCTTGCTATCTGACACGATTTGAGCTAAAACACAAAAAGTTTCGTTCAAATCGCTTCAGTAGTGTATAAAATATGAAGTGGAATCATAAAGCGAGGTCATTGTAGTAGATTTGAACACAGATCATATTAACAACTTGTAACATTCTAAAGATAAACGACTTGTTTCCTAATAACTGATTCAAGTTACTATTAACTTAGCAGACGCATATTTTGACACATTTCGAATGGAAAATATTCAAATTATTCGCCAGTTACTAGTAAAAGAAACTTAAATGTGAAATAGGATAATAATTTTTATTATAACTATCGTCAGACATATTGAATTAATTAAAAAATAACGAGTTACTCACGACGTAGCGCAGCCTACTCGTCGCCGCGTGACAGAAGAGTCCCTCTGTGACTCGAAACTAATAGAGCTTTTTTTAGCATATTTACGTGAGTAACTCGAATTTTTTAAGTAATCCAGGATAATAATTATACAGCAGATTTTAGGGTAACAACAACATTAACTATGTATATCTTCCGTTGCAGTCGGACATGATTTTTAATAACGTTTACCTACTTTGTACCTATCTGAAATAATTTAAGTACTGATTTCCTATTGCTTGACTTGCACGGTTAGCGCAGTGGCTGGGAAACTCATACAGTTTATAGATCAAATTTTTGCTTAAGTACGCAACATTTGCGTTGTAAATGCACCGGCAGAAGGAAATCCTAGTGCGGGGTCACGTTTAAATAATGACTAACGAATGTCTTTGTATAAAAGATTAGGTAGGTACTTATAGTATCCATCTCACTCAGATTTTGCCGATCCTAAATAATTGACGTTTTATGACAACAATGGTTTGAAACCAGTGTGATGCCACTATGTAGTGTTTAACAAATTTGACGAACTTGAGACGAATTGTAGACAAATGATAGAACTTAACAACATAAAATAATATGCTTTTCTTGTGTTTTTAGTACATGAAAGAGATAGTGATAATGTAGCATTGATTGGGCAACAGATATTAGGGCCCGTTAGCGCCACACAAACACTCTCCATTCATATGAGGCAAGTCTCATATTATTAAACAAAAAAGATAAAAATTTAACATTCGCATTTGGTATTAACGCAGCAATTACCGAAACTGGCGTTATTTTAAGATATGATAAGCATATAAGTGAAAAATGAGTACTTTACTGTGTAGTGCATTTTGAGATTATTGTTTGGTATTAAAAATTAAGTCTTATAGTCATCTTGAACTAATAGAGGAGCGCGCGTATGTTTGGTTTGCGGGTGTTGACGAGTTACTAACAGGCGACACCGGCGGTACCTGATCATTGGCACAGCATGTTGAAGAACGAATTCGCGTACGCCATCGGCTTCACATCCGGATGTGGCTGGAATATAAAACAATAAATGTTCATAAAACTTTACCTTAAACTCTTTAGCCAGCCCGCATTTTTTAGCAAGCGTGGTGATAATATATATTTATATATACGGTGATAATAATGTTCAAACCATCTTCGTGCGAGAAGAGGACTTTGCTCAGCAGTGGGTACTAAGCTGTTCATATCTAATGATAATGCTAATGCTAATGATTATGATCTTAAACCCTTACAAGTTACTTAATAAAATCAACAATGTTTCTTTAAAGCTGTCCACAAGTTCATAATACATGGTCAAAATTGCAAACAAAGTATAAATAATATGACCGATGTCGATTATTGAATGACAAGTTATTTCATACTCCTAAATTCCAATGATTTGTCTTTCGGAAGTAATTGCTCTGTTATTTTGGAAGATAAACCTTACATTATTTACCATTAGGTACTTTACTTACAAAAGACTAGAGAATGATCTGGCTTTGTCTGTTCAAATTACATAATATAACATCACGCCTTTTATCCCCGGAGGGGTAGGCAGAGGTGCACACCACGGCACTTAATGCCACTGTACAATGTAACACCCTTTTTTCACTTTTTATGTTATGAGTCCCATGTAATAGGGGGTGAGCCTATTGCCATATACCGGGCACAATTCCAGATTCCGTGCTAATACTGAGAATATTTAAAAACCCAGTAATACTTTGCCCGACCCCGGGAATCGAACCCGAGACCTCTTGCCCGGCAGTCGCACTTACGACCACTCGGCCAACGAGGCAGTCTTCAAATTACTTATTTTATTTTATTCAATGAACAATAAAGCCTGTTTGCTAGTCTGGCTGATATAGGCAGCACTGTTCTAGGAAGCATAACAATTATATTAAGAAAGTTAAACAAATATATCTTACCACAGCTTCATAAGTAGTAAAGTTCGGTTTCAAGTCTTTGCCATTCATTGTGATAAAAGCACCAAGGTTACCCATTGTATCACTGTAAAATCGAAAAAAATATGTTTGTTAAATACATACAAAATTAATTACTCTTTCCCAACTTATTTACTCTTTTCCATAATTACTCAATACTTTATTGCTTTCCACAAGTATGACTTAGGTGGTAAAGATAATTACGATTTAAGGCATAACGAACAACACTTCCTAGAGTAGGAAACTTGACACATCACAGTCATAATAGCTTTTTTAGAAATTCAAGAAATTTCAAATTCATTTAATCATTTGTAAACATGGGTATATAATACATAGGTATTAACAAAGTTTACAGTTTCTCCATATTTTGCCTTCATGTGGCATGCAAAGATATGTTATAAAAAGTAATTACATAATAAAATTAGGTCCATTAAACTGTCAAACACCAAGCGGTCACCGGTGACCGCAACCTATTGTTCTATAATTGTGTCTACAAAACCGGTACTCGACGAGTTAAATTCGTACAGGTATATATTATGTACCTATGTTGGCAAATGATTAAATAAATTAGAATTTTGAATTCTTAACCAAAGAGTTATTAAATCTATACCTATATGTATTTATGTATATAAAAAGTATCGCTTTTTCCCTTGGTCACGGCATCATGTGTGAATAGCTGGACCGATTTCACTAATTCCCTTTTTTGTATTTCTTATTATTAGGAGAAGGTTCGCAGACAAAACATCCTGAAAATCCTATGTACAGAGTCGCGGGCAGAAGCTAGTATTGTATAAGTGACATACCAGTAATTAGGCGCTGAAAACACAGTAATGCATTTGCCATCATGAGCTATTTCATAGCCGTCGTTCTTGACTTCGTGGCTGCGTATCACGTAGTCCAGTCCATTACGTTGCAGGAACGTGTTAGTGACGTCAGGCCCGAACTGGCAGCCCACGCCGCGCTTGGACGGCGCGCGCCCTAACATCGGCTGAGGGTCCGACCACAACAGCTCACACATTATACCTGTATACAAACATACACTTAGCTGTCTTCAAAAATCAGTCAATTCAGAAATTATTATTTTTGACTATAAACTATTATTTCTGTGGTAGATATTACAAGTACCTTGTATGAAAGGAACTTTTAAAAAAAATTGCGTGCTTAAAATCTTAAGCAACATAATATGTAGATAGTAAAACATAAATGGTATTCTCAAATATGTAATAAACATATATTATTTATATTTATTTAATCTCAGCGCATCATTAGATTAAGGTAGAGATAATTCTGAAAGTATATAATTTAGATTTACCGTCTTCCGGCGGCTGCTTATTCCTATCCACCTTCCTTATATCGTCGAGCGTGATGTCATCCTTGGAGAAGAGACCTCCATGCATCACCAATACTCGGCTATTGATACAGTGAGCTAAGGGCAGCCAGTTGTACACCTCAGTGAAAAGGTCAGCCATCTGTGAGGTGTACTTGGATGAAACCTCACCTCGGAACCCATACATGCGGTTCATATCTAAAGTCTCATGGTTACCTGCAATAGTTTCATTCAATTGTCAGATGAACTCTGAATCGAACTTAGGGCTCGTACACAAAATTGCAATGCAACGTCGCATCGCAAAAATGTGCGAGCTCCCCTACGCATAGCAAAAACTTGCGAATTGATTCGCATCACGCATCAAAATCTTATCTTTTCAATTTAAAATACGTTTAGTACGGTTGACGGTCGTCGAAGGAATGGTTAACCTGGGAGACGCCTTGTCGCACAAAATTGCAATGCATCGCAGCTTTGTGTACGAGTCCTTAGTCTAATGTGCCAAAGTGCTAAAGATAACGAGTTGATGCATTATAACTTTTTACTAATTTAAAAGTTTTAATTTAGTTATATTATAACAATTTAAAAAGATCTTATCAGTGATATAATTATTTTCGGCGGAGAAAAATTCGCTGATTCCGAATATATATATAACTCAATATCGCCCAAAATGTCGCTTAAACCAAATACGTAGTCCGTTACCCCTCGATATGTAAGTTAATGCTAACAACAATATTTACTAGTAGCACGTCAAACAAGCCACAAAACATGCGTTTCAGAAGGTTAATCTTACCTCTGGACATGTAGAAGTGGTTAGGGTATAACAACTTAAAGCTGAACAGTGTGAAAATGCATTCGACACTGAAGGAACCTCGGTCTACAAAGTCACCATTGAACAGGTAAGGGTTGGTCTCTGATGGAAGACCATTCAACTTGAATATGTTCATCAGGTCATAGTACTGGCCATGGATGTCTCCACAAACTGTAAACTTGGCTTCATCTGCAACCTTGATATCAACGAGAGATGGCTGCTTTTGCAAATATGCTTTTACATCAATCAGTATCTGCCAAATAAATATTATTATAGTATTTAATATAGGAGACCATAATATAGCACTTGATTTTTTCAGAGAGTTAAGCAGTACACTTAAACATAACATAATATCAGGCCTTTTATCCCCGAAGGGGTAGGCAGAGGTGCACATTATGCCACTGTATAATGTAACACCCACTTTTCACAATTTATGTTATGTGTCCCATGTAATAGGGGGTGAGCCTATTGCCATATACCGGGCACAATTCCAGACTCCATGCTACTACTGGGAATTTTTTAAAAACCCAGTAATACTTTGCCCGACCCGGGAATCGAACCCGAGACCCTTGCGCGGCAGTTGCACTTGCGACCACTCGGCCAACGGGGCAGACACTTAAACAGTTCAAGGATATTTATATTTCACAAAATAGAAAATCTAAATAAGTTTAATATTTTATGATCACTACATTATAGGTAGGTTAGTATTACCTTGTAAGCATATTTCTTATGTAGTTTCTTCTGTCGTTTGTAAAACTCCATCAGTTCAGTGACAAACTTGAGGGTTACTTTCCCATCCTCGAGTGCTGGACCAACATATTCATCTTCAATGGCTGTAAACAGAAAAGAAATTTGAAAATTGTGCAAATAACAGTTACCGTTACTATCAAAACATCAGTGAAATACAATAATTGCAATATTCTTGTAACGGTCTTATGGTTTTGATATTACCACATTTAAAACACTTTCTGAAGAACATCATAATATTATGGTAACTTAAAAACCATTTCAATCACTAAAAGCGTATTATCAAAGTATGGGACCTTTGTTAGCACATCATTATAATAAAAGAGTGAACATAAAAATAATCACAGTGAGATAAATGAACGAAAATATTTTGTTATCAGAATAACATTACCACGCAATTTATATCAATCAGATATTGATATATTTAATAGATACCGGACAGGTACTAAAGCAATTATATTTTCTAGGTAGATTGCACCAATCTAGTTCAGACCAGCTGTGTGATATATAAGTACGAGAGATGACGACCAAAACCATGTCTCATAGCAATACGGCAAAAACCTTATAAAATCGTTAGATTGTATGATTCTGAACCCGACTAGGTGTGTAGTAACGGTCGAAAGTGTAGCAACTGCGTGGGAGGCCATTTCTGCTGTGTCAAAAATATCTGAGTATCGAAAAGTTGTCTGATAGAGAAGGTGCTACACTTATTTTGTCTGATATACATTTTTTGCACATGTGGACAACTTATTTTATCATGTCCAACAATTTTCAGACATATTGCCATGATACCGATTGGTAAAATTTGTTAACATTTTCAAAACGGTCTCAAAATTTAATGCGTTCACGTCTGAAAATTGTTTTGTTCGCATCAAATAACCAAAATTTACTAATAAAAAAACATTTTTTTTTGTCTGGTCAGATCAAAAGCTACGCGGAAAATGTCTGATATTGATATTTTCGAGTTCAGGATAATCGTATCTATCGATTTGAGGCGGTTTTGGCCGTATTGTTATGAGACAAAAATTTTTGGTCGTCATCTCTCTAACTAATATTTTTATTGTTATTTTAGGACATGGTTTGTGTCAAATAATAATGGACAGATTGATCAGAAAAGTGTGCTACAAAGATAGGCTATAAAATAATGTAATGTTTTATACAGTTGTTCTTTTTATAACACTAAATCTCGCATTATAAAAACAAAAACTGTCAATATTTCTCTAGCTTCACTGACAGACGATTATTTATTTTGTAAGTATTTATTTTTATAATAATTATTATGAGACATACTAAATTAACTAAAAATCGCGGGTTACTCACGTGAATATACTGAGAAAAGCTCTACTAGTTTCGAACCTCATGAACAGCATGCGCGGTTTATTTTGTCTTTGTTGTCGTTTCAAAAGTACCAAGTTAAAGTTTAATTGAAACTAGCTTTTACCCGCGGCTTCGCTCGCATTACAAAAGGATAAAAAGTAGCCTATGTGACATATACCAATATACACAGCGCACATCTATACCAATAATTTCGTTTTCCTTTGAGAATATCAAATTTTTCCGGGTTGAAGAGTACCCTATTATTTAATCCAGACTTCTAACTTTACGTCTGCAAAATTTCAAAGCAATCGGTTTAGTAGTTACGGCGTGAAAGTGGAACAAACAAACAAACTCACTTTCCGATTTATAATATTAGTATATATATAGTAATATAAATGCTTCGACTTTGACTTTCTCGTGTTTTTGCCAACTTAATAGACGACTTGAATGAAATATTTAAATACAACTGCAATAATGTTTTACACCATATAATACAACTTTACAGATACAAGAGATCACAATTCAATTCAATTTATATCAAGAAAAAAGGAAGAATCTCTTTGGTTATTTTTAATATCAAGATTATACCTAATAATAGTATTAATATTAAAAATGCAGAAGTTTGTATGTTTGTTACTCTTTCATGTTAAAACGGCTGAAGGGATTGCGATGAAAGTTACAGGGGTAGACACATACACCTAAATAACACATAAGCTACTTTTCATCTACTTCACGTAAATTACAAAAATGTATCCACATAATATTAATACCTCTTTTGAATTGAAAGTAAAAATTTTGAGGAAACTATAAAATCATATTTCAGACGTAACTTAATAAAAGTAAAATTATGGACTATGATAATTATTATGCAGGGCGATTCTTAGTGTTGTTATTATATTAAGTAATTAGAATATTTTAATGTTGCCTCATTGGCTGAGTGGTCACAAGTACGTCGGGCAACGGGTCTCGGGTTCAATTCCTGGGGCAGGCAAAATATTAATGGTTTTAAAAAATCTTAGTAGTAGCATGGAGTCTGGAATTGTGCTCCGTATATGGTAATAGGCTCACCACCTATTACATGGGGCTCATAACATAAATAGTGAAAAGTGGGTGTTACATTGTACTTACAGTGGCATTAAGTGCAGTAATGTATGTCATGTGATATTTATAATACTTACTCATGGCATCTAAATTGATGGAATCAGCTATATTGACCTCCTTCTTATCAACGGAGATGGCCTTTTCAAAAGCAATCTTCTTAACTATCTTATTGCATTCAGTGTACTTCATTTTTGCATCTTGGTCATTTGGCCTGACTTTGGTCACCTATAATAAATATTAATGTAAAAAAATTATGGCTATAGACAATTGACTAATACAAATTCAAAGAATAGACTTTAAAAATAATAAAGCAGTATAGCACTAGTAATGCAAGGAATTCAAGCTATCAGTGGTTTCAGAACCTGAGTAAGCTAACGTTAAATGGTTGGGTCAAGGGCCTGACACAGAAAAAAAGTACTTCCAGTCAAAGGTGTACATTAATATCTGGAATACTACTTTTTATAATATAAAATATGTATTTTTATGTTAGCTATTGTATCTCCCTAATGTTACTATTAAGACAATGTCTCTGTTTAAACAAGGTATATTTTTATCTGCATAATAACCAATGACTCAGTTTTTTTACATGTTAATGTTTATATTAATTTTATAGAAGTTTTAATTTTTTACAAGTTATAAAGCTACGGAAATTGTGTAGCTATATACAGTAATATACTTGATAGCCTATGTCATGATACCCTTACTTGTTTTAAAACATAAAACTATCCAACCCGCTGGTGACAAACCTAATACTTACATATTCAAAATCCTTAAGCGCTAGTTTGTACTTTCCTAGGGACATATAAGCCGCAGCTCGCCTGTAATACGCCTTCGTGTAAGACCTGTCCAATTCTATTGCCTTCGACGCGTCGCTTAGAGCATAACCAAAGTTCTCCAGCCTCAAGTTAGCTATACTTCTATTAGCGAAGAAAACAGCATTCTTCGGGTTCTTTTCTATTGCTTTAGTATACAGCTCGATTGCATTATTGTAACTTTGTTCTGAAATTTGAGGTTATGTCAGTCAAGTTTGTTCTATTCTTGGTACGATCAATATGTTATAAATAGCATTTTTAATAACATCCTGTAAGTAGATGTTTATCATAATAACATGTTGTGGTAAGAAATTGTTAAAACTTACTTTTAAAGTATTCATTCGCTTCGTTTTTCAATTTATCCGCTGCCTCTACATCCTCCTGGGAAATGGGCCCGGTAATTTCTTCATTACTAGCCATGTTTTAAGGGTACAGTATTAAATTACTTAAAATGGTAAATACAGAAGCAATGTATATTACTCATAAGAAATGTGATTATTTCACATACATTTACATGTTATCCGCAATTCATGAAAAATTAATTGACAGATATATGAATGAATGAATTTGAAAGAATATGTCATGTGAATTCATAGATAATATTATTATGCTATTTCTGTGCTCAGGGTTGCCAGGTCACCATTTAGAAATATAATGGAAGACTTGGGAGTTTGGTTGGCTGTCAGTACTGATATCCGGCCTGCTGTACATTTATATGGCTCATGGTCTGATTAAATCTTCGCGACCGGCATGGTTTATAATTGAATATTGGAATGAGTAATACCTATAATGTGTGTCTGTCGATCATGAACGTAATATTACAAAGTGAGTCGTCATCTGGAAATGTCGAAATATAAAACCCAAATGGACCGAGCACCGCTATTTTGAGCAGATAGTCAATCAAAAAGTTAAAATGTATCCAGTTTTATAATGGATACCTGGCAACCTTGTGTGTTGTCAATGTTAACAGTGAATGAATGTTTCATTCATCAGATATCGCCGCCGTCATTATTTTATTACCTAGGTAATTCATTACAAAGAGTATAATTATAATAAGTATAGGGGTTATTCATTATTTGATATAGTTTAGAGCGCAGTACAATAAGTATGAGCAACCTCGAAAAGCTATAGGCTTACTGCAAATTCGTACAAAATAATTGCCGGTCCGCCATACAAAATAATTGACGGTCAGTACATTCTGTATAGGAAATCATATTATTATCCTTTTTAGCGCGGCGGGTTGTAAAAAATAAATATAACTGATTCTATGGTTAGTCTATGGTTTTATTCTGTGGCTGCGACGAACGCAGGCCGCCAATGGGCGCGCGATCGTGACCACTCCTTCCATAGATGAGACTCCTTCCCACCACCCGCTACCCCGCGCGCCAGCGCAGGGGGTTCGAGTGGAGAGTGAGGGATTTTTATACTGTGGTAAGGGGTTGCGGTGTGAGTGGACGCCAGCGAGTGGACGCCCTGCGCTGGCGTCCACCACTGACGCATACGGACGTCTCGTAAAATACTCCGCGGCTCTTAAGTCGCGACGCCAAGTGTTTTTCCTCTGTAGAATTTTCTTGTATTGTTAAAGTCTGTATTCGAGTCTTATGTGTCTTATGTCAGTGTGTATTTTAACGAGCAATAAATGTTTACCCATAACTTTTGCGTATTAAAGTATTTTATTTCATTGGCTTGGTATATTCAATGATTGAAATCACAACGAAAAAACATTTTTTTTTCATTTGTTAATGTCTCCTGGTTCTTGAAAATAAACACTACCTAACCGATAAACCCAGACAAACGATAAGTTTTGTCTATGATATTAGTTTTGGCGCTAAATTCAGAATTCGATTTTTGAACTAGGATTGGCTTTTCATTTATTTTATTTTATTTGGTGATTTAGCTGTTTCGCTTTGTGCTTTACGTGTTCACTAAATTCAAATTAATTGTACAAAAAATTTAAATACATGACTTAAGAATTGATACGCTAACTAACATTACAATACAATACAATAACAGTACAATCAAATAATAATTTTGAGTGTGAGAGCCGGCTGGTGATGGTAAGTTGTTAACGTATTAGGTATTTTAATTTTTATTGAAATAAATATTTCGTCTGTTAACTGAATACTTAGCTATTCTAGCAAAATGATTCTTGTCATTTCGTCATCAAGTTGTCATTTCTTGAAAACAAAGTTTTATTTCCGAAATAGGTATCCTATTGGTGGTATATATGCTCGTATTTTAAAAATTAGAATTCCAAAAATTTGGCGCTATATAATAACAATTATTATTATTATCTATCTATCTATATAATCTATATACCTATATTATTTCTATCTATTAAACTATAAAAACGAATTACTATTCGTTAGTGTCGCTGAAACTCGAAAAGGGCTGGACCAAAATTGCTAATGTTGGTGTTGTATTGTTTGTAGAAGTACAGAGAAGGTTTAGGTAAACGGTTCTAACTGTCAAACACCGAGCGGTCACCGGTGACCGCAACCTATTGTTCTTTAATTGTGTCTATAATGACGGAACTCAACGAGTATTATTAGTTACGAATTCCTTTTGTTTATTTTTGTTAGTTCTGACCTTATTTATCCCTTGAAGTAGTACAAGGTCTGCTATGTCAGTTATTATAAAATAATAAATTCAATGTCTCAGTGTGTAGTATAATACAAAGTTGGCTTGCAATACAAAAACAATACAAAGTAAAAAATGTACAATCACATTGGGGTTCAATAATTGTGCAAGTAAAAGGAATATTCGGCGGCCTTTTTAAAATTAGTGGTTTTTGTAGACAATCTGTGTTTATGTACATACCTACGTAAGTAATATCGGTAGTTACCTAAAGGTGTTTGTCTTAGTCTATAATTAAAGGTATTAATTGATTTAGTATTCTAGTCGACTGCCTCATTGGCCGAGTGGTCGCAAGAGTTGTTGCCGGGCGAGAGGTCGCGGGTTCGATTCCCGGGTCGGGCAAACTATTACTGGGCTTTTCAAAAAATCTCAGTAGTGGCACGGAGCCTGGAATTGTGTCCGGTATATGGCAATAGGTTCATCCCCTATTACATGGGACTCATAACAAATAGTGAAAAGTGGGTGCTACATTTTACAGTGTTTACTTTGTCGTTTGGTTTATAAGTTGTTTCTATCAAAGTCCCTAATATGTATTTAAGTATTTGTTTATTTTGTATTTATTTATTAGTGGAAGTCAAATCATTACGTGAATCTTTAACCCTTTAACCGCCAAGATTCTGAACTTTCAACTTACCTCCAGCGCCACGTCACTTTAGGTATAAGTTGGAACAGTGTTGGGAACGCTTAATATCGATGCATATATTCTTTATTAATTAAAATCAATGTTTTATTTACCTACTTAATAAATAATCTAAAAATTTTCAATCTTCAAACGAAGTATACGAAAATGTGTATTCGGGAAATGGGCACGGCGTCGTCCGTTCTCCTGCTGGCGACGGTGACGATGCTCCACGAGCATGTCGTATTAAATTTAATAATTTCATGTAAACTTCTGAGCGGATTTCCGACAGTACGGTTTCCAGCTCAAAAGGTTTTAAAGATGCAAAGTATTCATTTCGTGGATCACTTGGTCTCTGATCAAAAACTTTTGCGTCACCATCTTCTAACTTTGCATAATGGACACATTTGGTTTTGACTGTGTTGATTTATTTGAGAAATAACAAAAACCCAAAAAAGGGCTTACAACACTAGTTGCATTGAGTGATAAATGTTTAACGTGATTTTACGGTGACGGCGCTAAGGCAACTCACAATACAGCGCTATAATCTCCTTGGCCGCACGTAATATTACGGTGATGGCGACCGGCGATTGTCCGCACTAGTGCGTTCTGCGTTATGAAATTTTTATATTATTGTTATAAATATTAAATAATTTTAAACTTAAATACATTTTATTTAGTACAAATACTTGCATCAAAGTAACACTATGGTTATTTTCTAATGAAAGTATACACTTTCATTGCAAATAGTGACAGTAATATCTATAGTGCCTTGTTTGTTCTTAGACAACCTATTAAGTATTTTTCGAATTTGCCCCATCCCTAGTACTCGTAAAATTACGTGATTGGCGATACAGATAATGGAGACGGTGACCACAATTTAATTAAACCTCAAATTTCACAGTATTTATCACTCAAAACATTGAGAAATATCCATAACAATAAAGATTATACCCTACATCTTGAAATTGACACATTTAATATGGAGTTTGTGCACTATAAGAAGATTTTTAATAAAGTAACGTGATTGTACGTATGTGGCGATTCGGACACAGCTTTCGAAAACCGTAATATTACGTTGTCGGCGGTTAAAGGGTTAATAAGGCAATTTTGAAAGTTAAACAAAATATTTCTTATCTAAGATTTAAAAGTTGTTTGTGGCTTGACAGAGAAGATAATTATGTTGCACCTAGGTATTTTACCGTATTTATGTTGCTGTAACTTCTGAATTCATCCATAGATCTATCTATACCTACGATTGTGTGTCTGACGTTTTATCTTTCATGGTTATTTGTTGACGAAAGGCGTGGGGGGATATTTCACCAATTGAGAATCGACTTCAAAAAAAAACGTTCTCATAAGTTTGATATTTGGGTAAATTCGTGTTATTTCCATAATCCGTGGGTAGAGAGGGCAAATCATGCTTCCATATTGTGTGGCATCAATGAATATGTAGGTAATATTAATAGCGTGCCTAGTTACATATTGATAGCGTACCTATACCTCTATAATTATTTATATTATTGATTACGATTTAAGGGCTTCTTGTGGATGTGTACAGACTAATATGTATGGATTTTTGACAGATTAGTAGATAGTATAACATTATATTAAAACTCATTTTTATTTTTATGTGAGAATAATCTTTAGCAGATTCATCTGTTAGTGAGTTTTCTCTACCGTAAAATATTTTCGTTGTGTCCTTTTCACTCATGATCTGTGAGGAATCAGATATGGAAATCCCGTTGCGTGGACTCAGCTGAGTTTTCATAAGGGATACAGTTCTGATGTTGGGTCAAGTTTTTCAAAACTAGTACTTAATGTTACATAAAGTATTTTTAAATCAAACTTATAAATTAAATCAATATCAATATTAATAGGTTCCTATAAACTTAAATTCTCGCTTGAGGAATCGTTATAATCAAAAATATAACATATACTCGACATTTCTTAAAATTAAAAACATTATAGCTTCTATACATACCTACAGGGTGTTTCTGAAGTCGACGATCAAATGGCACCAGGTGATCGCCAAGGTTTCAACAGTTATCAGATAAATATTATGAAAACTCGAGTCAAATAGTTTTTAAACTTTCAACCACCAAGCGGTCACCGGTGACCGCAACCTATTGTTCTATAATTGTGTCTACAAAACCGGTACTCGACGAGTTAAATTTCAATGACTTATGTGTTCTACGAAAAAGTAGGCACACCCTGTGCCAGTCTTTTGACTCTTGTTGCTACAATTCTTTATATTTTCGTCTGTATTTTTGCTTACGCTATCCATAAAAAAAACATTAAAAACAGCTAACGGCAGAAGACTATGGCAAGGTCCTAAAGTGTGTATCACAATCACATGAGCATAAGACCTACCTAATAAACGACTACACTATAAAAAACGCGTCGCTAGGTGTACTTTCATGTGGTGTGGAAATAAATTTGTTTTCCAAAATGGTAATAAAAATGTACTTTATTTTGCTCTGGCGCCAAAACTACTTACATAACAAAAAATCTGTCGAGATATAAATTGTAGAAAATTGTGGGTACCTTGTTTATTTTGTATTTAACGGTAAAAAATGCCATTACATTTTACCAGAAAACCGTCTAATAACTAATAAGTACCTTTTCATCACTACATAGTATAAAACAAAGTCGCTTTCTCTGTCCCTATGTCCCTTTGTATGCTTAAATCTTTGAAACTACGCAACGGATTTTGATGCGATTTTTTTTAATAACCAGATAGAGTGATTCTTAAGAAAGGTTTATATGTATAATACATACATAATATAGTCGAGAAACACTGATAACGTGATGTCGTAAATCAGCACGTTTTTTTTGCGGTTAAATTGAAAACGCTGGCAAGTACCCTACGAGATAGACCAAAATAATGTACAGTATTGACCACCTTAAAAAGCTCAACAAAAAAGTCCGCGATGGTATATGTCTACCTATTTTTTTTTTTAAGGGGGGAAAATCATCGAATGACTGCTCCCGCCTGGGTGAGGCGGGAGCAGTCATTCGATGGAGGATGGAGCGGGAGGGAGTGTCAGACTCTTACTGACTAAAAACCACCCCGTTCCTTCTCCTGCACGTCGAGCCGGAGCCTCGGTTACCCGTTAGGTTCTCCGCGACATGTCTATCTATTAGGGATAACCCACCATAACCGTTTTTTTATACTTTACTATCAATGGTTATTTATGAAGTGATTTTAAACAATACAGCATTAATCCTTATCCAATTAAGTATTTTAAATAGATTGTGCATTTATCATAGATCAATATGCTTTTTACAGCATGTAATTTAAGTGAATATTTCCGAAGATATTACACATTTAAAATGCAGGGCCGTATTTGTTGCGGCGTTGATGGCCGGTGCGTCCGGCGATGGTGCAACGATCGCACGCGTTTATCGGAGCTCTCTAGCGAGGAAAATATCAATATAAAACATGTTTGTAATGTCTAATGATAAAATAGCTGTGAACGTGGTGTATAAGGACATTTTGTAGTAGGTATTTTTACATAAGTATTGCACCCGTGCGAAGCCGGGGCGGGTCGCTAGTTAAGAGATATTGTAAAAATCTGGCCGCATTGGTTGGCCGCTATTTTTCCAAGATGGCGGTTCGAGCGGTGCACGTACAAAGGTGCAAAGGAGGAAATCGAAAATAGCACATCATATCTACAATATTGCCGATTTTCAAAACTCCCCCAAATAATTTCAGGTAGAACTACCAAATTACTGAACTAGTATGACAAGGATAAATAATTATGACCTTAATTATCTTAATTCTTAAAGGAAATACAACATTTATTGGAAAGTAAAAAGTATAGGTACTAATAGTAATAATAATTCATAGACCAAAATATAATTTTATAAAATTTATTTACAACAATAATTGAAATATGGCGCATACATAGAGAAAAACAATACTGCTTTTGAATAAAAACGCTGAACTGGGTTCTGGACAAATATCATGTTGTTCAACTGTTTTGAAATACGGTTCATGGAGCTCTTGTCTTTGTTGTATCAGACCTGCGATGACTACCTCTCCATCTGGTGACATAGTCCTTTCACGACTCAACTGCCAAGCACGAACTAGAAGAAAATGGTAAAAACATAATGTTAGTTAGCTATTCACTAGATAGTTAATAAACAGGTTTTTTTTTGTAAGCTATAATATAGTGTGATGGGACTTCTGTGCACTGTGTGTGACACATCCCACTTCCTACTTGTAGGTATCATAAATGCCAAAATTTTTGAGAATATAGAATAGAATACGTATATTATTCTAACTTTTACCCGCGGCTTTGATCGCGTGGAATTTAGTCTGCCACATTTAGTTTCGTGACAAATTATTTTAAATAAGTGCATTTTTTCGTACATCCAACATCTTACCTCTAAATGATATCGTTGGAAATTAATATTTTAGTGTATTTTGTTTATTTAATCTAATCGGGATCACCAGTTACTCCATATCTTCGATTATCCTAGTTCTTATAGTTTTCTCTTTATGTGGCCAATAAACTCTAACTCTGTACCAAATTTCATAAATGCGAAACTTAGCTTTCACTTAACTTCGGAACTGCATTCCCTGTAGACTTTGAATTTTAAGTATGTGATTATAGCTTACTGAATGATGAAAATTTCTGCGTTCTGGTCTTATCCAGAGGTTAATAACGATATAGTTCCAGTAAAGGATGGTACGGCAGTGTTTGCTTCGCGCTCGACTTGGCGGATTTAAATAATATCCTTGTATTTTTTATTTTAAGTAGAATTTAACTATGTTAATAAACGTTTTAATATTAAGTTTTTTATGAATAGTGAAATTGCACACATACCTTGTCTTTGAAAGGCGTTTACGTTGTTGCAACTATACGCTAACGCGTAACTGGTGTAGTCTGTAGCCAGGATATAGACTATGGTATCAGCACTTTCTGAAATCAAAATAAACACAAAATTGTAATTGCACATATTTACCAATTATTTCCACGACATTTTGTAGTTCAATTTAATGAAACTATATAGGTAGGTAGTTTCTTTTCGATTGATATTGAGTGAACTATTTACTAAATTATGTAATAAAAAACGTTATTGTTGTAAGTATTATACGATATTACTACGAGATATATAGCTTTTATTCATCTGGTTTAACTTAAGAACTGTCGTTTACCTTCTGAGCCCACAACTGGCATGCTTAAAGTTATTTGACCGGAGCTTTCAGTAGAATTGATTCTGCCTGTTCTTCCCGTAAGCGAGAATTCTCCATTGACCACTTCGTATGAAATAACGTTGATGCTGTCGGATTCTGGTGTAAATCTCGTGCCAACACAAATAGTTGTAACAGGGTCGTATCTTTTGATCTGGTTCCAGTTTCCTTGGAACTATAAAAACGAATATTACAAATACTTCAATCATTTGGGAGGAAATATGGGTTATTACGTACGTTATACCTATGATAATACATTGAGCTGAATACCGATTTTATTTAACTTTATTGTTGTAGTGGTTAACTGGTTAGGCGACCAGCTGCTTGCTACGCAACGTGTCGCTATTTCGATTTTTGTACAGAACAATTTCTATCTCGTGTCATTTACAAATTGTTATTATGGGGCTGCATGTGTTAAGTATTTGTAAACGCATCCACAATACATGAGAAAACACATGGGGCTGTGCTAAAAACGCGTAACAAACACTTTTCTGAAAACCGCATGAAAATCGGTTCAGCCAATCGTGAGATAATGGCGCACAAACATGCTTTGCTTTTTGAAGTCTATTAATAATATAATAGGTATCTATATAGGTAGGTACCTACTCATATCATAACCTACTGCATAATATCTGATGTAATAAGGTAATTGCTTAATGAAGAACACAATATATATATATTAATAATTTATATATATATATAAAACTTAATAATTTATGTAACATCCAAACAACACAATTACGTTAACAGTGTTCGGGATCAAAGCGACGACACATTGTACTACTGCCGGTCGCCAACTCACTATTATATTCATGGTAGAGTTGAGTTGTATTGTATTGTAAGCTCATGCGATAGTTGGAACATAGTATAATGTCAAAAAATTGTAAACCATTCTGTACACACTATAGATACATTAAAGTGATACGATTTGATTTGACTTATTTTACATCTCTTACACCAAGCTGAAAAGTTTGTTTGTTTGAACGCGCTAATCTCGGAATCTGATCCGATTTGAAAAAATATTTTTGTGTTGTATACAGTATAAAACATCACGCTACGACCAACAAGAGTCGAACAGGTAAAATCGTGCGGCAGTAGCTAGTACAAAATAACAACTTACTGATGATTTATCTACTGGCTTGCACTACTAATAATAAATGTCAATATGCATTCTTACCTGATTTACGTCGAAGGACGGAACTCCAGAAATGGTTTGGTCACATTGGCCAGGTATTATAATATCATCATTTTGAGCAATGTCAGGATATTGGAAACACATTTCAACATTCTGATCCGTGGTTTGGTAATAGTCTTCGAGGAGACCTTGAGTTCTGCTAACCACTGCATCAATAGCAGCATTGTCTTCGGCACTCAGTGTTCCGGTTCTACTTAGTTTCCAGCTGCCAACTGGAAATTAAATTGGTTTGAGAGTGAAACTTTAATAATTTGATTGTTATCAGAGATGTTAATAACTAATATACAACGTTTACCCACCTCGTCGTTTGTTTCCGTTGTCTATATTGGCGCAGCTATAGACAAGTGCATAATTGAGGTAGTCTGTTGCCAGTACGTAGTAGTTGGATCGCCTGATTTCTGCATATAATTTTTTTTTAGAGTATTCGTCTGTTTTATGTTGAAAAAGGTAAATTTCGATTTTTATATTATTTAAATGAAAAACAACATTAAGTATATCGCATCACTTGGTAATAAAATAATATTTCGCATAGTTGTATCTATTTATGACAACAAGTCATATTTATGTCAGATGTTAAAGTTAGTCAGTGTTGCTTGCTAATGTTTAATCACAATTGATAAAATCGTATTCTTTAGTTTTAATTTTTGGTTAACTTCTTGAAACTGGATAAAGTCAATAATTGTGTGGTAATATAATTATACAGGATGTATGTGACGCATGGACCGACACAATTTTTTCAGGAATTTGGGTGGCCAAGCTACCTTTTACGCAATAACCTTCATTCCAAATGTCACAGATGGCTATAATATTTTTTTATTGAAATGAAACATGTACCCAAAATGTTTTTTTTTAACTCAAAATAACTTTATTGTCCGTGAGTGTAGTAGTTCATGCGCCGAATGCGCTGTAAAAGTGTTTTGATATTTTTCGTGTATAAAGTGTGCACAAAATATTGTTACATTATCTTGCTATGCAATGCGACCTTTTACACAATACGTGAAGCAATAGAAAACTGGTACACATCGTGCTACACGTAACCAGTACAAAATGACCATAAAAAGTGTGCAAAGATCTTATAATGCGAGATCATTAAAAGCTGTGTTGGTATACCTTAATGTGTAGCGGTGTCTACTAGATTAAATACTTTAATCTTTTTAATAATGTCTATAAGGGCTATAAGTCTATAAGGGCTTCCGAGAAAGAACACAGTGAAGCCCTGGCTCTAATACTAGGTATCCCTGTATCACAAGACCCAGATTACAGAATCACATTCACGAACGTCGTCGTTCACCGTGTAAGTAGCCTATAAATAAATAGTAACTTACGTAAAGCCGTCTGTTTCAAGTTTAAAAACCCGACTTTAAGTTGGTTTACGATAAAATTTAACGTTACTTACCGTTATTGTCACTTAAAGCAACTTCCAACTGCCAAGTTCCGTCATCGCGTGCGACAATGGCTATTCCTTGTATCTTGGTCAATTCTCCATTTGTAATTTGGCTGTGTGTCACAGAAAGACCGCCTCCCTCAATCGGGGTATAAGTTGCACGGTTACACTGTCCAACTTGCCACAGCTGTGGATATCTAGCGGTTTCTATCCACGTGCCTTCATACTAGCAATAAAATGTAATAATATGTATTATAGTCTGATAATTAAGTAGGAAATGTTGGGGTTACCTGGAAAGTTTTCCGGGAGTTTTGAAAATAGGCAATTTTGTAGATTTTGATGAGCTCTTTTTGATTTCCATTTTGCACTCTTGTAAGTGCGCCGCTAGCGCCGCCTTTTTGGAAAATGCCAAAGCCAAAAACAGTTTTATTACGATATCTTTTTCCTGTGCAATTTACGAGAAAATTAAACTACTCACTATTTTCTACTTTTTCTACATTTTTCCAAGATGGCGAAGTGAGCGGCCCAGGTATAAAATTGCAAAATGGAAACCGAAAAGAGCACATCAAAATTTAGAAAATTCCCGATTCTCAAAACTCCCGGAAAACATTCCAGGTAAAACTACCTAATTCCTAAATGTAGTATGTTTGTACACACATATATTGACAGTCATTAACTATAACCCGTCACGAAACGCATAAAATTTGATAACGGGTCGAACCAAGATGCGGTATCACCAAGATGACGTGAATATTATATTGTAAGGTCCAGACACACCAGACATCGTCATCAATTGATCCACGGCAGTCTACCTCTATATAAGGATAATGCTTAGAATGAACGACACACATTGATCGCTAACTCTCAGAGTGCACTCTGAGTGTGTCTTGTGAAAATCATTTCTGGCCATTATTAAGGTCATGTAAGTCATTTTGTTTTCTAAAATTGTATATTATAATGACTATATTATATTGTTTTTTTTTTGTTTGAGTTCTGTGTTGAGTGTTTGATTTGGTGTGAATTTAAATTGAAATAAACTTTTCTTGTTGAGTTTGTAATATAGAGGTATTGTAAATTATTAAACTAATACTTACACTTCTGTAAACATAATCATGGTTTGATGTCGACTATGTTTCGACTATGACATTCGTTTCATGCATAATATATTGTTAGAGGAAAAGTGAAGAAACGTCATTATGGAAGGGATGACAAGTGGTGGTAGCAAATCTACATAAGACCGTGAAGAGGGGAAGCTTGCCCGTTTGGAGGGTCAACCGAGGGAGGGTGAAATTGTTAAGTGTTCATCTTTCTTTAAATTAGTAGAGTGTAGGAGTTAGTTCTAGTTTTCGTAATTTGATTTCGCTTGGTAGACGAAATAAAAACGTGTTGAAGGTATTTTGAGATTTTGTTTTTTTAAAATAAATTTTACCTCCGGTGTTTCTAAAAATATAATCAATCATTACTAAATGTGGTTTAATATTGTGTGCTCACGTAACTACAAAATATTATAAATTACACATTTAATTATATATTACATATAGTTTGTTTGTTGAATAGTTAGATTGTTTGTCTGTTTGAATGAGTTAATCTCAGGAACAATATGAATAAATATTTTTAAATTGGATAGTTCATTTATCGAGGAAGGCTACAGCTATAGGCAATAAAACATCATGTTATGACTAATAGGAGCTAAGCAGAGCGGGTGATTAGTTCAATAATATATTAAGCTACTTACTGCAGTGGTATTGAAGTCCGGAATACCTCTAATGCTAGTATTACAGGGGCCAGGCAGTTCGATGAATTGCTGTGGTTCATCAAACTTTGGATAGTAGAAGCACGATGCAAAACTTTGGTTTGTGGGTAGGTAATACTCTTTAAGCAGACCTTGTGTTTGGTTTATGACTTGATCAATTGCATTAGTGGCCGCTGCACTCAGAGTCCCTGTTCTACTAAACACCCAACTGCCGACTAAAAATAAGGACTATTTAAGTAGAAGTTTTGTAGGATATAGCTAAGGTACAAGATAATATACATATAGCAAATACATACATAAAACATACGTACACACATACAAACACATACACCCACATTCATATCATACCACTTCAAACTTTACAGCATTTGAACACTGCCTTATGCCTCCGCATGTTTGTACATACCCTTAGTTATACCTATACGATCGGGGTCTGCGGCGGGTGACTGAGTAGCCCCGTTCTGCAAGCTTCTTTTTTGTATCCTCCTATATTCTAGGTCCCTAGCAGCAATTTAACGTACATACATATTTGTCTATCATGATGATGTGCTGTGAGGTGTGAGTCTGAGAGATCTGGAAGTTCTCTCCTATGATTTTATTAACCTCAGTGATGGCGATAGCTGCTTAGTACAGGTCGGGGAAGTGTGCATGATGTAGTTCCTGATGGGAGTTTATGTGTCTTACCCTGCTATAGGCCAATTTAGGGTTAATTGCGGCAGAAGCTGCCCATTTCCTCTTAAGGTCCAGGGCCTGGTCCAAGATAGCAGGTATCTCTAGGGTTCTGCAGTGAGATTTCACAAACTAATCCATATACTGAACAGCCTTTGAAGAGAAGGACTCCCACACTAGTTTCACCTGCACCAAAACAGCTCCTTCTGCTCCTGTCTTATCCAAAACCAGAATACGATCCACTATCTCCTGATGAAAATCCTCCCTACCAGCCACTATCTGGGTGAAGCGACTTGCCAATGATAAGATCGCGGTCCACCCTTCTGGAGCTACAAGGTCTGATACGCAATCAGAAGCCAGTGCTGCCTTCCACCTCTTGGTGTATGCTGATGTGTTCTGTGTGGTAGAGGGCTTGGCGAGTATCATGAGGGCAGCCAACGTGGTGGCAAGGATTTTTGAGAAGTGCTCTTTCTCGTGTTGCTGGAACCCTCGTGCTTGGACCTGATATGCAAGAAATCTGAACCGGAGCCAAATATGACAGAATCAATGACACAATTAGGTCATCAAGAGTACTGTTCCATCCACAACCTCGCCTTCTCCCGCATGGCAGTCGTTCCACTTGGTGATATACTGATAGAACCTCCGTGTGCTGAGACTCAGCACCTGGTTGGATACAGGGATGGTGTATACCATGATGAGGATTGTCCGGGGTTAATGTCTAGGTGGAAGCTTCAGTCCTAAGATAATAATAATAAAAATAATAAGCCCCCAATCTGATTCACAAGGGAGGCAGACACGCGATTGATAAATTACTGGCGCGGCTAACATGGCAATGGGAACCTATCAAAAATGGAGACTCGATCAAAGATTAAACGTTTAGGGCCGCTGCTCGGGGGCGATCGCGGGGGAACACTTGGAGCTAACGCTGGGTGTAGCAGTAGATGAACCATCGGCGGTGCGGAGTTGAAAAGGCGGGCTCCCACCGGGTTAACCGAACATGCACCGCACTGCATCCTTTATCACCATCTTCATCCAAGCACAACGTCATATGCACCTTCTCACTTACTACATACCGGACACTTCTATATCAAAAATTTATGCAACGATACTCAGAAATAAATGTTACAGAACAAAAAATATCAGATCAAAGGAGAGTTATCATTAGGAATATACTGTTAAGTATGATATAGAGGTAGAATGTCTTACATTAGAAAATATAAGCGAAAATTAAATAGTATTAGATCTGGACGAAAAGCTACTAAGCGCCATTTTGCACTACTCCGGAATGGATCCATCAGCAAGCCAAAAATTACCTAAATTAAAGAAGGAAAAAGTCTACATAGTGCCGATTGTCCGAGTGGTGGACACCGAGTGTCCTGTCTACCACTAGAGTAATCCCAAAACACCTTTTTCACAGTTTAAAATTATTGAATATCAAAGACACCATATACATCAAATTGCAAAAAGCGGCTATAGGTACTAAACACGTGTCGTACAGTTAGAAAATTCATACAGATAGACGAAAATGAAACCCCACCACCACCACCATCAAACTAAACCATACAACCGATACATAATAGTCAGTCAGTCAGTTCGCCAACAGCTACCGAATAATATTCTTTATATATGTATACTTCACTGAAGTCCGTAGAGGACATTAAAACTGGCCTTAGCCGAGAGCAAGAAGGATTGCAAAAACATAAAAAAAAAGTATAAATAGTGGACAACTTATTTTTGGTGATTACCTCGTCGTTTTCCGTTTCCGGCATTAAGGCAGCTGTACACAAGAGCATATTCATCATAGTCGACTGCGAGAATGTAATATTCTGATGTTCCGTTTACTGAAACATAAACTCCTTACATAAACTCATTTTTGCTTTTATCATCGTGAATATTTAGTTATCTTGTGGTGTAATCACGTAGGTATCCTAATTTAAAGATAGCATGAAGTCGGTAGTTATCTAAATGTAGTTAAATCACGTTAGTTTAGAAAATGTTCGCGTATAATTATTACCATTTCTTAAGATCAGATTGAAGGAAGGAATAACATTAAATATAAACCAAATCTTATTTGGTAAGTACCAGTTTCTCTAAGTGGTATTTCGTGTTTCATTATCACACCTACCTGCCTATTCTGAAAGTTGTCGTGGTTAAACATCAAATTCTTACAAAATGATCCACTGAATGTAGGTATTTGACATTTAACACCTCCAGGCGCAATTATTATTTTTTGTCATTAATTATTATTAAGTTATAACGCCGGAATACTGAAACGTTACTCAATTTTAAGTCGTGCTTAAATATCGTGCTATCTCTGTCATTTTACAAAGAATTAGTGGTGACAGAACTATACTTAAGCGCGACTTAAAATTTAGTAGCGTTTCAGTATTCCGACATAAGGTACTAAGAAGTTGGGACTCGAGGTGGCGCTCCACAAGTCCGAGGCCATGTGTTTCCATGGCCGCGGGAACGCGCCACCTCCGGGTGGGTCCCAAATAACGGCGGGAGGAGTTACCATCGGCGTCGAGACGACGATGAAGTACCTAGGACTCGTCCTCGACAGTCGGTGGAACTTCATTGAGCACTTCAGACGTTTGGCTCCAAAGTTGGAGAGGACGGGGGCTGCGTTTAAACGCATCCTCCCCAACGTCGGGGGGCCAAACGCCTCCTGCCGGAGGTTATACGCCGGGGTCGTGCGGTCCATGGCCCTCTACGGCGCCCCTGTTTGGGCGCCTAACCTGTTGCGGCGTCCCGCTCGGACGCTGCTCATGGCACAGAGGGTCATGGCGATCCGAATGATCCGCGGATACCGCACGATCTCTGGGGAGTCGGCGAACCTCCTTGCCGGATTACCGCCGTGGGATCTGGAGGCGAAGGTGCT